CGCCCCCGCCGCCCTCCCGCGCGGGCGCTGAACCCCAGAGGGGCAGCGAGGACAGTCCGCGGCGGTCTCCGCTCCTTGGAGATCGCTCTCTGTGCCGCGGGGCCGGCGTCAAGGCTTCGGGGCCCCAGCGAGGACCTGCTACAATGCCACAGGGCGGCTGCCGCTCCCACCTCCCGCCCGCCCTCCCAGCCAGCAGGAGGGCCGCGGACACTGCCCTTCTGCACCACCACCCCCGGGGCGCTCAATCCCCCCGCCCCCCACCCCCCCAAATCACCGCGCGTGTTTACTAGTTTGTCGTCTGACTCCAGCTGTCCAGCCAGGGCACAGCAGGTAGTGCACGGAGCTATCCAGGTGGACAGGTGCATGGATGGATGGAGAGATGACCAAGATGGGCAGATGGATGGACAAGTGGATGGGTGATGGATGGACAGACAGCTGGAGGGAGGGATAGGTGCATGGACAGACGGATGGGTAAGTGGATGGGTGATGGTTGGGTGGAGGGTAGGGTGGAGCAGGGGAGGGCACTGGCCTGGGGTTGACGACTTCAGAAGCCAAGTGTGGGGGAGGGGGTGTCAGCCCAGGAGGGAGGCAGGGAGGTGGGTGCGCTGATCCTGGGCTGAACCTGCAGTCTGGGAGTCACTAGGCTTTTGGGAGGGGAAACCACAGCCCCAAGGAGAGCTGAGATGTGAGAAAGGTCAGACCTCTGGGCCAGGGGGGGACAGGCGGGGGCAGAGCACATTTAAACACCTGGAGAGTGGAGGCAGGAGGAGGCTCGGAGGCCTGGGCACTCTCCCGTCTATCCCCTGCAGCCAACTCAGCCCATGAGGTCAGACACAGGGATGGACCCAGAACCAAGCTCCTGGGGATTGCTGGGGATCCTGGACTTGCTGCTGGCCCTCTGCTCCACGCTCCTCTGTGCCACACCTGCACAAACCTGCTATATGCATGGCCACATCTGTCATACAGCTGTTCACGCATGTTCACATACTTGTCACACACCTGTCTGTACCTGTATACACTTGTCACTCACCTGTCCACATCTATTCATGCCTATCCTGTACCTGCCCATGCATGCCCACACTTGACCATGAATGTACACATCTGTCCATCTCTGTCTACCTTGTTTATACCTGTCCACCCACTCTTTATTTGCCCACACCCGCTCTCATCTGCCCACGTATATCCACAGGTGTCCACTCCTGCCTACCCCTGTCCATCCCTGTCCACATTCTTCACTCCCGTCTCCACCTCTTCACCTCTGTTCACCCTGCCCACCTCTAGCCACACCTTTGCACATCTCTCCACACCTGCTCTTCTGTCCACAGCTAGCGACACCTGCCCAGGCCTGTCCACCCACCCATACCTGCTCATGTCTGCCCACTCTCATCTATGCCTGACCAGGCCTATTCCTACCTGCCCAGACCTGTCCTGCCTTCCTGCCAGGGTCCACACGTCTATGTATATCCACACCTGGAGATGCATGTGCACACCTGTCCACACTGGTTCACACCTGTCCATATCTATCTATATCATCGACACATGCCCATGCCTGGTCATACCTGTCTACGCATGTCTACAGTGTCCATGCATAGTCACAGCTGGCCACACCATGCCCCTTCACCTCTGTCCACACCTGTCCACCTTTATTCACATCTGCTCACTCTGTCCATGCTTGTCTCCACCTGTCTCCACCGAGCTACAATTGTCCACACCTGCTCGTGCCTGCTTCTTGCCTCTACCAGCCCAGGCTGTTTACACTTGTCTCCTCACACACCTTCCCGGCTCCGCTCCAGAGACCCTCCTGGAAGGGGGGCTCTCCACAATCCCTCAGCCTCCCCTGCCCATGGAGAGCTGTTCCCCATCTCCCCTCTGCATTCTTCGGTGTGTCCCAGGTCAACCGGGTTTTCTCCAAGACACAGGTCTGCACGGTGTTCATGTTCCGATTGCACCGGCGTCAGATAGACCAGTTTGCCGCAAGCCGGCATCTCCAGCGGCAGTGCCCAGCACTGAGTGTGGCAGGTTTGTGCGGCCTTAGCACGTGCTTCCTTCCTGCTGCAGTGGGCCTTCCACCCTGTGTGCAAAGAAGAGAGAAAAGCACTACTGACGTCTGTGTTTTTCTTTTGCAATCTGCCACCTGACAGGATCCCAACGGTATTGTCCAAATGGTGTTTTTCCAGTCTGACCTCTTGGGTTTTGCGTGGACTCTTGTTGCCTATAAATAAGGACGACTTTGTCTCTCTCTCTCTCTCTCTCTCTCTCTCTCTCCACTGCATTCACCTCTTCAGTCGACTCCTCTCCCGAGGGCTGCTTGTGTCTGGGTGTTCTAAAGATTCCAGGGCTCTATAACGATGGTATCTGGTGGCCAAGGTTGAGTAGGAGAGGGAAGGGAGAAGTTACTGTTTATGAGCCCGGGATCTCTGTGTGTGTGTGTAGGGGCGGGGGGCGGGGGGAGGGGTGTTGGGAATAGACATGGAGAATATGATTAATATCATATATGTGGATCACATGTATATGTGGATCACATGTACAAAACTCTTTCTTTCTAACGTGGAGTTAGTGAATCGGCTCTGCTGCTCCAGGGCACAGACTCTTTTAAAAATTCTTTTTTTTATTAATCATTTTATTTGGATGGGGCCTCTTACAAAGTTTATGACAATCCATCATTCAACCATATTAAGCACCCTTGTACTTATGTTGTCATCAACATTTCCAAAATATATTCTCTCTACTTGAGCCCTTGGTATCAGCTCCTCTTTTTCCTCCTCCCTCTCCCACCCTCCCACCCTAGTGAATCCTTGACCAATTACATATTATTGTTGTTATTTCGTGTCTTACACTGTCTGTTGTCTCCCTTCACCCACCTTTCTGTTATTCGACCCCCTGGGGTGGGCTATATATCCAACCTTATGATGGGTTCCCCATTTCTCTCCTTCCCTCCCCCCACCAGTCCCCCACCCTCATGACATCACTACGCCCACTGCTGTTCCCGAGGGTCTTATCTGTCCTGAATTCCATGTGGCAAGAGGTCTTGTCTGTACCAATGTGTGTACTATGGTCTACCCGGATTTGTAAGGTAGAACTTGGTGATGGTAGTGGGGAGGAGGAAGCATCCGAGAACTAGAGGAATGTTGGGTGTTCCGTAAGTACTATACTACCCTATACTATACTATACTATATTATACTATACCCTGGTTGAATTGTCCCTTCCTTGTGGCCCTTCTTTGAGGGGATTCCAATTCCCCACAGATGGGCTTTGGGTCTCCATTCCAACCCCCCTTGTTCGCATCGATATAATTGTTTGTTTTGGATCTTTTGATACCTGATACCTGATCCTGTCGACACCTCATGATCACACAGGCTGGTGTGCTTCTTCCATGTGGGTTCATTTGCTTCCCTGCTAGATGGCTGCTTGTTTGACTTCAAGCCTTTAAGACCCTAGATGCTATATCTTTTGATAGTCGGGCACCATCCACTTTCTTCACCACACTTGCTTAGGCACCCATGTTGTCTTCAGTGATCGATCATGTTGCGAAGGTGAGTATCAAAGAGTGCCAGGTTATCAGAACAGAGCGTTCTTGTGTTTAGGGAGACCTTGAGTAGAGGCCCAAAGTGTGTCTGCTATCTTAATTACTTACCATATAAATGTATGTACATTGACCTCTATTCCTTTCATTATAAATTAATATATTTACATGTAAACATACGTATAGCTATACCTCTATAAATAGCTTTTGGCTCCTACTTCTTTTCTCTATTTATTTTCATCTTCCTCCTGTCCCACTATCATGCTCACCCCCCACTCAGCTCTGAATAATTCCTCTTGGACGCATTGCACTTGATCAAACCCCACCAGACCTCCTTGCAGGGCACAAACTCTTGCTAGAGGTACCACTCTCTCTGCATCTTTTCATAAGAAGTTGGATTAGGGACCACCCTCCTCGGGTCTTCACGAGAAGACGAGGTAAAGCATCACATTGGATGCTGCAAAGGCCTGGAGTCAGAAGCCCGGAGGGAAGGACGTGCTCAGCCTATCTTCAGCTGAAAGAAGCTTGAAGAAAAACACAAGCCTAGATCTCATTTCAGCATCGGCGGTGTAGTGGGCACGCCCTGGGCTGCTGAACTGCAGGCTCTGCAGTTGGAAACCGCCAGCCGCTCCTCCAGAGAAAGCTGAGGCTTTCTGTTCCCACAACGATGTCAGACTTGGAAACCTGCAGGGTGTTTACTCTGTCCTATAGGGTCGCTATGAGTCAGAGTCTACTTGAATGTTGACCGATGCAGTAAGCATCGAGACACAGTGGAAACAACATACAGAGTCACTACCAGAAAACCCTAGTCCACATTCAACCACTTCAAGAAGCGAAAGTACCGTACGGAGGAAGAAATCCAAACTGCACAGAAGGCATCCGCCAAAAAACCAAACTCCAGGAGTTGATGGAATTCCAATGGTGATGTTGCCACAAGCGGATGAAGCACTGGAAGCCCTCACTCGTCTGGAAGAGATTCCTGCATGTGCCCATTCCCAGGGAAGGTGACCCCACAGAATGCAGACATTATTGAACAATATCGCGACTGTCACCTGTGAGTAAATGTTTATGGAAGACCCTTCACCAGTGGTTGCAGCAGTACATCGACAGGGCGCTGGCAGAGATCCAAACAGCATGCAGCAGAGGACACGAAACAGGGGGAATCCTTTCTGGTAGAAGCCGAGCAGAGCAGAAGGAGGTTTACATGTGTTTCGCTGGCTCCTGCCAAGGCATTTGACCGTGTGGCACCTAACTGTGGGTGTGCCTGGAGGAGACTGGGAATTCCAGGCACTTCACTGCGCTCACGTGGGACTTGCACACGGAACAAGAGGCAGTTGTGCAAAGAGAACAAGGGAATACTGCACGGCTTACAGTCAGGGAATGTTGCGTCAGGGTTGAATTCCCTCACCACACTTGTTCCGTCTGTCTGCTGAGCAACTCATCAGAGACACAGGCTTTATGGAGAAGAGCGTGGCGTCTGGCTCAGAGAAAAGCTTATTGATAGCCTGTGATGTGGAGATGACCAACCTTGCTTGCTGGAAGTGAGGCTACTTGAAGCACTTGTTGATGAAGATCAAGGATTGATGAAGACCTGGTGTGGAACCCAAACCTCACTCCTGGCCATCACCTGGACACCTGCTCCCAGCAGCCCTAAAGGGAAAAGTGGAACTGCCCTCGGAGTTCCCTAGACGGTAAGCATTTACGGGAGTAGAACACCCCCTCTTTCTCTCGAGGACCAGTTGGTGCTTTTGAACCCCTGACCTTGTGGTTAGCAGCCCAATATGTAACCTGATAGGCCAGCAAAGCTCCATGTAAGGAAAACCCCAGAAGCTTCGCCCCTGGACCAACAGACAACATCATGATACGCAGAGAAAGTCTCCTGAGTTCAGCTGCTTGGGCCCACGACCAGTGCTTACAGACGCAGCCATGGAGAAACCCAGCGGTGTCGGCGTTGGCGGGGCTGGTGCCCAGAACGCCCTAGAGTGCGGAAGAGCAAAGATGTTGTGTTGAGGACCGTGGTGCGCCGGCCTCAGCCTGGCGTGCTCAGTCGCCTCACATGCGTGTGAAAGTTGGACGCTGACCGAGGAGGACAGGAGAAGAAGCTGGGCTTGAATGAGGATGCTGGCGGAGAATACTGAGAGGGCCCGGACTGCCCAGAGCACAGACAAGTCTGTCTGGGAGGACAGCCAGCCAGAATACCACTTGCAGGCACGGATGGTGAGACTTTGTCTCGGGTGCTTTGGACGGGTTGTCAGGAGAGACCAGTCCCTGGAGAAGGACATCGTGCTTGGTACAGTGGGTCAGTGATGAAAAGGAAGGCCCTCCAGGAGATGGATGGGCACCGTGGTGCAACTGGGAGCTTCCACGGAGCAACAGTGAGGTGGTGTTGTCCCTACCAGTGAGGACCATGGGCTTGAAGGCACCCAACGACAACCACTCTGGGGAGACCTCGGCCATGGCATTGCTCGTTCTCAGATGCAGAAAACCCTCCTGTCTACAAATATGCTCACATTCACAGGTGCGGGGCTTGGACATGAAGCATCTCTTTCGGGGGGCCTGTTGCAGCCCACCGTGCCAGCTCTGTGAGACCTCTGGGTGAGGTGGCTGTGTCCTGGCTGGGCTGGGGTGCTGTGCAGACACCCCACCAAGGCAGCAGCTGTTGAGCCCCCCTTTCCTCCCTGGCTGCAGGGGCCCGGTGATGAGCTGGGACTCAGGGAGTTTGTGGAACCTGGGGTGAGGGGCATGGGGCGTGGCTTCAGGACTTGGATCCAGGACAGAGCCCTGTGTTTGTCCGAGGGTGGGTGGGAGTCAGGAGAAGCCCCCAGGGGCCCCCACAGAACCTGGGAAGACCCATGCTCATGGTGAGGCTGGGACAGATGGCCACCTGCTCCATCACTGCCCCTGGACGGGATGATACACAGGCTGTGGGGGAGCAGGGCCGGAATGTGCCATGGGGGACAGGGAGGGCCAGGAGCCCCAGGGATGGGTCAGGTGGCAGGCCCCTGATCAGGGCCCTGGTGGGCGAGCCTGAGGTTGGGGGCATGGGGGGCTGCTGCAGATGAGGTGGGGAGGGGATCGCAGGGGCCAGATGGGAAATCCAGGTCCTCAGATCTCCCAATTCCATTGCTGCAACTTGGGGTCCCCAAATTCAGACCCTCAAACCCTGAGCATGGCTGTCACTCACTGCCTCCCCACCAGCCTTTTGTCTGCTAGCTCCTCCCCTCCCCAGTGCAATGGAAACTTGGACCGCTTGATTCTGCATGCTTTGGCCAGCGGCCGGCTTCCTGGAGAGGGTCTGGTGTCTGGGGCTGGCTCCCAGCCTGCTGCAATGTGTGTGTGGGAGGGGCTGGTGGCCAGGCGGAAGTGTCACCTGAGGGGCCCTTAGGCTTTCAGGCACTGTGGTTTGGGTTGGGAGTGGATGAGGGGTGCTGTGAGCTAGGTGCAGGCTGAGCCCACCGTGGGGTCCAGCTGGGGCCCAGGGCCACACTAGGCCGCTCACCAAGGCTGGACCGCCCTGCTCTCTCAATGTGAGGAGTCCCTCCCCAGGTCCATTCCCACCCTCCCACCCCTACCCCCAGACACACATTTGCTGCCCCCTCCTGCTCAGTGTGCCCAGCTCCTGGCCCTCCACCGCCAGGCCAGGGGCACGGGAGCCACAGCCTGGGCACCCCCTCCCACCTGCAGTGTGCCCCTTGGCCCTGACATTGGGCACAGGTTCTGAGTCCAGTCTGTCCCCCATTTCCTGAAGGAGCATGGGGCTTGCAGGACTGGGGGCGAGGGGTAGGGGCCTGCTGGGCAGTATTCGGGCACACGGTGGATGTAGATGGGAAAGTATCAGCTGCCTGAGGAAAGTGGCATCCAGGTGGCATGTCTCCCTGCGGGGCCTAGTCACCTCACCAAGAGGGCTAGCAGTCAGCGGGGAGGGGGGGCGTGGCGCACCTGGCTGAGGGCCACCCCACAGTCCTCCCAGCATGCCTCCTTCTGGAAGGTCTGCTGCTGCCCCTGCCCCCCTGCCCCTGCTGACTCTCGCCCTGGGGGCTCTAGAGAAGGCAGCCTGGTCCTCAGCCGTTCACAGCAGGCAGGGCAGCACGACCAGTGGTCAGCACCGTGGCTGAGAGAGGACCTGGGTGAGCTGAGCTCAGGTGGGGGACAGAGACAAGGGGTTCACCCCAAAGGCTCTGGGTCCCTTCATTGACTGGTGGCCCCTCACTTGGATGTGGGGGCTGCATCACGGTGGGAGTCACAGGTGGCCACCTGGTCTCCCCACAACTGGTGCCCAGGCCATCAGGCGGGAGACCCTAGGTTATCTGGGAGGAGTCTCCTCCGGCCACCCCTTCCCTCTGCTCCAAGGCAGCCTGTACCCCAAGAGCCGCCCAGTCCTGGTCCCTGCAGTTCAAATCCCAGGGTCAGCTGGACCCACGTGGGGGCCGTGAAAGGGTCCCAGGGCCTGCCCGATGCTGTGAGGGCCCCTGTAGCTGCAGGGCCTCCAGGCAGAGCTGTGCCCATGATGGAGGGCACAGTCTAAGGGCCGCCCCGAGGCAACCAGGCTGTGAATTCACACAAGCTCACTGCAGGAAGCGGCTGCTTTCAGTCTGACAGATGAGCACGGGGATGGGGGGGTGGGGGTTAGCGCAGCATCCTGGTCCAGTCGTTGCCACGGAACCTGTCCACAGGGCAGTGAGGACGAGGGCCCATGTCCCATGGGAGGTGGGGCTCCAAGACACGACAGCCCCTTACCTGGAAGGCTCCCACCCCTCCTTGTGCAGGCTACATGTGCACGCGCGCGCGCGCGCACACACACACACACACACACACACACTATCATGACCCCAGTGCTGCCTCTCACTGCGGGCCAGGCGGCGCATGCGCACAGATGCAGGTAAGAGAGAGCGCCCACGACACACGGAATCCAGGCACAGGAATGGGAACAGGGATACCAGGAGGGCAGGGGACGGTGTGGGGAGTGGAGGAGAGGAAGAGGAACTGATCGCAACGATTGTCACATAACCACACCCCCCTCCTGGGGATGAACAATAGGAACCATGGGCAAAGGGAGACAGTCATCAGGTGTAAGATATGAAAATAATAATAATTTATAGTTTATCAAGGGGTCACGCAGGTGGTGGGGGAGGGGAACAGGCACTGATACGAAGGGTTCAGATACAAAGTAAATGTCTAGAAAAAAATATTGGCAAAACATGTACAAATATGCTTGATACAATTGATGCATGGATTATTATAAGAGCTGTAAGAGCCCCCAATTAAATGATCTTTTAATTTTAAAAATTTAAAAAGAGAGGTCTTGTGCAGCAGATGTACCCAACGCAGTGCGTCATTTGATCTCTTGACTGCTGTCTCCAGGACTTGGATCCAAGCAGGATCAGACCCTTGGCCATTCCAACCTGCTCCCCACTTCATCGTGATGCTCCCTATTGGTCCCCCTTTGGGAGCAGGGAGCTAAAGGGTTTGTGAAAACTTGCCGGAACAGAGCAGGAGCCGAGAGAGCAAGCTGGCACGCTGACTCTCAAAATGAGGGATGCGCCCTTCATTCTGGGGGTCCTTCCAGCCCTGGCTTGACACTGATCCTGGGCCTTCTAAGCCAACCAGTCCTGGGTGTCTACCCTAGGGTCCAAGTTCTCAGTGGCCATGTCAACCAGTGTCAGAGCCAGGAGAGAAGCGGAGGATGCGGCTGGTGCTGAAAGAGGCCAAAGGGCTGGCGAGTGGAGCTGCCTGCACCCTCACAGTCAGCAACTGTGGGCTAATGCTGTGCTCATTGTCCTCCTCCCAGAAGGCAGACAGCGTCTGGCACTGATGCTACCACACCGCAACTGACACACAGACAGGTGGATCGATGGGTGGATGAACAGATGGGAGAGTGGGTGGATGGATCGGTGGGTGAATGAATGGATAGGTTGGGTGGATAAATGGGTAGATAAATGGGGGGATGGGTGAATGGGTGGGTAGATGGATTGATGGGTGGAGGGGTAGATGGGTGGGTGGATGGAGGGGTGGAGGGGTAGATGGGTGGATGGATGGAGGGGTGGAGGGGTGGGGGAAGTGAGGGACTGAGGTGCTCATGATGTCTTTTTCATGAGATGTTCTGGGTATGATCACAGAATGAGGCGGCCGGTTTTCGACCTCACCAGAGTTCTTCTTGGAAAAACAAGAGACTTTACAAAAACAGGTGAAATCATCCTAGTTACATGTGTGCATGGTTGTCAACACTTGCATTTGAACATTAACTTTGCAGAAAGACTTTCAAAAGCCAATTCTGTTTTGCATTCACCGCTCACTGCTCCGACCTCTGGTCACTCTGCCTGGGGTGGCTCTGCTGGGGTGGCTCTGCCTGGGGTGGCTCTGCTGGGGTGGCTCTGCCTGGGGTGGCTCTGCCTGGGGTGGCTCTGCAGGGGTG